GCTGTTGGATCCCCTGGAATTGGAGTTACAGACAGTTGTTAGCTGCCATGTGGGTGCTGGGATTTGAACCTGGGTCTTCTGCAAGAACAGGCAGTGTACTATCCTCACTTTCAAAAGGTTCTATGAACAGAGTGCTGAGATGAAAGAGAAAAGTAATGCTGAAAAGATAAGGGTAACAATACTAAGACTAATTTTCATTCTAAACAATTATTTATGAAGATTTTTTTATCTGGCCTTTGTACTGACCAGGGGAAAAGAGAATGTCAATACTCATGATGATGATGAGGAGGAGGAGGAAGGCAGAGCGCTCATTAGGTGCATCTAAAGGTGATTCCTCGCTAATAAATGCTTAGGAAAGTGCCTCTGAAATACATGGTACTTAAAAGCAGAAATCACTACTGGGTACTTTCCTTTTCTAGGTAGAATCTCCATATCATTCAGTAAACCATTTTTTATGCTGTTGGTTACTGTTGTAAATGCTAAAAATTCAAAGTGCGATGGCCTGAGTGTGACTATCAGTCTATTCAAGGCCATAGTTTTAATTTCTAACACTGAAATAAAAAATACAAAGAGGAGGCTGGAGAGATGGCTCAGAGGTTAAGAGCACTGACTGCTCTTGCAAAGGATCGGGGTTCGATTCCCAGCCCTTAACCGTCCTTAACTCCAGTTCCAGGGGAATCCGAAACCCTCTTCTGACCTCCACAGCATTGCATAACATGGGTGCACTGACATACATGCAGGCAATATACTCATACACATAAAAAATAAAAATAATAAAATATCTTTTTAAAAAAGAAAAAAATACAAAGAGAAATGGGATATTGCAGAATTTCAGAGACCTAAATTCAAGGCATTGTAACACTTTCACAGAGCACCTACTTTATGCCCAGTGCTAAAGACAGAGATGTAATTTAGCTTTTACTTACCCAAGCCAAAGTGTACAAAGAAAATATATGAACAAAAATATTCACCTTCGTCGTGTCTCAAGTACTGAAAAGCTAGAACAACCTATGAGCTCATCATTAAGAGTCCACTTTGTTTCAAGAAAATGTAAAAAAACTGCCCATTTAAACAAGTGCAACACCATTAAAAACCAGAATAGTAAATTAGGCATAGTGGTGCACACTTTAAAAAAAAAATTATTTGCTATTAGTAAGGGGGCGAGCATATGCCACAGCACACATGTGGAGGTCAAAGGAGTGGTACACACTTTTAACCCCAGTACTGAGGAGGTAGAGACAGGAGGAATTCAAGAGTTTGAGGTGAGGAGGAGGGGGACAGGAAGGATGGCTCAGAAACTAAGAGTACCGGCTACTCTTGCAGAGGATCTGGGTTTGGTTTCCAGTTCTGGGGCATCTCATACCCTCTTCTGGCCTCCATGGGCGTTGTCCTTCATGGGTACATTTACATACATGTAGGTGAAACATTCAAACACATAAAAAAATTTTTTTTTGAGGTCAGCCCTCGACTACCCAGGGGAGATCCTGTCTCAGAACAAACTAGCAAACAACAAACACAAAAAGTAAACACATGGATAGCTTTACATGTAGAACCATGAAAAGATGATCACTGCATTCAGTTAAATGAAAAAAAAATGAGTATGTTCAGTGTGAGCCAATACTTAGTTTTAAAATTACATATGTGCATACATATAAAACATATTTGTTTATATGCAGAGAAAAAGTCTGGGGGCTGGAGAGATGGCTCAGCGGTTAAGAACACTGGTTGTTCTTGCAGAAGGCCTGGGTTCGAATCCCAGCACCCACATGGCAACTAACAACTGTAGGTAACTCCAGTTCCAGGGGATCCGATGGCCTCTTCTGTCCTCCGTGGGCACCGCATGACACAGGTGCACTTACCTACATGCAGACAATACACGCACACACATAAAATAAAAATAATAAAATATTTTAAAAAAAGAAAAAGTCTGAAAGAATTAACAGTAAAATTACTAACAGAGGTCTCATCTGAGTATTACGCAGTTCAGCTCACAACTGATGGGCTGGCTTAACATGTAAATAAACCCTAACAGTGGGGTCTGTGCTATAAGAGAGGTACATTTGGAACAGAGGTCCTTCCCACCACCTGATCCTCACCTCTCCTAGAAAGGCACCATTGTCCAGTTTTAGATAGAAGAAATCAAAGTGCAGAAGCCCTGAGTAGTCCTCCTTGTCAAATCCAGCAGATCTTCTGGGTCTGT